TGCCGGAGAAGAGAGGGCCGACCCATGGTATATACCATTTCTAGTGCATAAAGGTAAAGGCGTCAGGCTCCGGTGGCTTTTTTTTTACAGTTCCTTTGCGTAGGCGGTCTTCGGCCGCGCTTAAGGATTAAACCCTTACTAAGTAGAATTCTCCTTTCTGTGTTGCCGGAGGAGAGGGGCGGTGGCCGTAAAGAAAAGCCACCTGAAACTTTTGCAAATAATTTATTGAAAAAAACGGTTTTAGTATATTTATCAAAAAACCTACAAATTTGACTCAATAACGAGCCGCATGTGAGGGCAATAAGAGTCCAGTATGAATAATTTGTGCCTATAAATACTTGCTGGGAAGACGTAGATTCGTATGCCGTTATGTTCGTTCACTTCAACGATTACAACGAAATGAAGTTTGAACAACGTGTCGCATAGGTGTATACTGAACTGACAAGCGACCAAGTATGCATACAAGTCTGCTTGTGTATATTCTGCTTTAGGGACAAAACGATAATAGTAAATACAAGTACATACTCGAGGCTTTTCGTCCGATACTAAGTAATTTTGGTATCGATACTTTTGAACCGCGTAGTGAGTAGGTATCGGAAGAATGTACTTGTATCGAAATCCGATTCAGTGACAATTTTATTAGCGGACTTTTATTTTTTAATCTAATTATTATTGTCAATAGCTAAAAATTGTTGGCAGTTTAGTAGCCAATGAACATTAATTTATCGCTAGCTTAAAGTGAAAAGGGGCTAAGTCCAGTTTTTGTGAAAACTTATAATTGGATATAGGAAGCAAGGTAAATTAATAACGCAACATATATAAAAAGATTAACTTACGTAATTGTTTTATTTCTTCCCGTTTATATTCAATTAAAGGCAGATTTATTAAGTCCAAAAGAGGCACAGAAAAGTCGATTAGCTCACAAAAAATTCTAAACCTTTTAGTTTTCACCGGGACCTTCTGCAAAATTCTTGAAGGAAATGATTTGAAATGTTTTTTTCCTTCCCTGTAAACTTTCTTCAAATAGACTTAGCAACTTTCCACTCTAAGCTAGTGGTATGAATGCCTACACTACACTATAATTTTGTCCTCCAAAAATTATCAACATGATTACTTCTTTCAGAAATACATATACCATTGTTACTCCTCATAAATGCTGTTGAACAGTGTTGTAATGCAGATAACTTTTATTAATTAATTAATGTGTATGAAATAAATTATATAAAAAATGTTTTTGATC